TTTTTTCATTTCAAATTTATCCCATTCTTAATTTAACTAAGACTTATGAAAATACATCAGGATCATCGTAGTCTCTTTCTCAAGGGGTTTCTTTATGAGAAAACCGAGCAGTTATGAGCAGCAATTACTTTTTTTGCATCAAACTATAAAAGCTTTTAAAATTTGGGCCATTATGATGGCACCAACATATTTATTCGTCGTCAATCAGCAATCCTTCACCAATCATTTCCTCCTTTTTCTTATTCCTCAGTAATTTGTTGAAGTGATTAATACTGTCCTCTACTATTTTTCATCCACTTTTTTTCTACAATAAACATCTCTCTTTAAATAAACTCTATTTCTTTCAATTATATTTACCTCTCTCTCTCTTATTCATTCATTCATCTTTACCTATATGAAATATATGCATGCATATCAATTGTTTCTCAGAATTTCACTAATTATTACATTTTATTCATTATTTAAAGAAAAAAAAGGAAAAGATTTCCTTTTATTCACTGTTAATTATTCAGGCGCTTTTTTAATTATATTTAATTTTTAGCTTAGCGATCTTTGAGGCGCAATCTATGCTATCAAATTTCATCATTTTCCCACTTCCCTTCTTTTCTATATAATTTTTGAATTGCCAACTTTGAAAGTTTTCCATTCATTCCTTTTAATACTAACAAATGGAATGAATTTTAAAGAAGACAACTGTACAGGAAGAGAAGGAATTTGAATTTTGTTGATAATACTGCAAGTAGCCTGGTTGCTCCTTATCACAGATCTTGTTTTTGACGTTGGCCAATATTAGTTAATCAATCATTATCCACTCTTATCAGTAGTCAATGAATCAATGAAATGATAAGTTGGTCCTTATCATTTGAGCAAACAAAGTTTCTTTTTTTTTTAATTTTGCATTTTTCTATTCTACTTCCTGATTCATAAAGAATGTTTTAATGTTTTCAGTAATGTATGCAAAACACCGACCGACCGAACCATTTTGTTTACCAAAAATGCTTCGGCAGATAAGTTTCTTCTTTTCAGATTATAAAAAACGAATAATAAAAATTTTTATTTGAAATAAAAATGAGATTTTTGGAGCAATAGGTTATAAACTAAGTTTTGGTATGTTTAGTGCTGCAAGAGAGGAAAAAATCATTGACACACTTTGAAGTGTTTTGTTTCATCAGTTGGAAAAATGTAATTTTCATCATCGGATAATTAATTTTTATTGCTAAAGGAAAAAAATCCGTTTTTTCTGATTTGGGAAAAGATACGATAGATTCGTTTGGAGCATTAAACCTTGAAAAATGTATTTTTTTTGTTGCCCAATTTTTAAAAGAAGCAAAATTTTATTATCTTTATAATACTCTTAAAACTTGAAATTTTTCATAAAAATTTATCTGCAAATATTTGAAGTCATATATTATGAAAATAATTGACTCACTCAATTTAAGTGATCTCAAGACGAAATAAATTTTCAAGTTCAACAAAATGATGTAAGTGAAATGAGACGTGCAGGTGATAATAATAACGCGTAAAAGTAATATATTAGCTTTCATTAGAATTAGAGAGAATTGTCGTCTTGCATATCCATTGCATTGATACGTAATATAGGGGAGAGGCCGGTATAGTCTGATGTATCAATAGAAATGATATTCGCACTGACTAATGGAAATAACAGAAATGAAAATTTGTGTCAAAATAGTTTGTTTAATTATAATAATAGCTCAGACATGGAAAATCCACTTTTCGGATAAAATCGAAAATTGTATTTTTTTTTTCCTGAAAATGAAATTCAAAAGTGAATTTTTATCAAAAAAGAGACTAATAAAATGAAAATAGAATGAAGAGAAGGAAAGATAGACAATACAGTTTGAGAAAGTGCCGAGAGTTGTAGGAAGTTGAAAGTGAAAGATGATCGTTTCATCCCGCAGCATCCTTTTCGTTGTCTACAACGATCACAACCAAATTGGCACTTTTTTACGGAATGATATTTAAAAATCGTTAAGTACCAAAATGGCATTGCTTCCTTTCAATTTAACCCTGCAGATTTCTCCACATAATCTAATGTTGTTCAAATTTTTTTGAATTTATTCCATTCATCTTATATTTTTCATAACTGCCACTTTGTCAATTTAAATGACCTAAAAATATCCATTCCATAATTAAGCGACAGCTATTCATGAGCTTATTTAATGGTAGCTAATTGAGCTACCATTCATCTGTTCTTTATATTAAATTTTTAAATAACCAACAGATAATTGTTCTTTTATCTATTTTTTATTTCTATGAGAGATAATGCAAAAAATTTTTGCTATATTAATTAATCGATAAAATGATTATAAATTACTTAATGTTTTTAAAAAGAAATATTAATGAAATGGAAGGAATTAAAATACAAATTGCTTAGAATAAATAAGTTTTTTTTTGAAATTTGTATACAATTATTGCATTTGTTCATTAAAATTTCAAGATTTTAATAATTTTTCTTCTAACTCAACCTTATTGTTTTGTTTATAATTGAAGAAAGAATTTGTTGTGTCAGATCAGACAAAATATTCCAATGATAATTTCCATCTCTCTTTCCTTTTTAAGAATTATTGATGATGATGATGAGTCAGTCGAAGTGGAGGAAAAAGATGGGCAAAGAGCTATTCACTTTTGCATATTTGACACTGCTATTTGGACAAATGGTTAGTTGAAGAGAAAAGAGATGATGATGATGATGATGATAATGATAAGTATTCATGATATGATAATGGAGATGGATGAGAGAAACTGACTTAATAGCTTTTAATTCAAAAAATTCAGAATTTTTCCCGGTCCGACATAATAACCGGTATTCCTGAATCGTTTAAATTCTATTTAAACATGCGCATTAACAATAATAATAGTAATAATGATAAGATAATAAATAGAAGTAATGAAAATAAATGAAATAATACTAAATGCTGGTAAAACTGATAAATAGCGATAGCAATAACAATAGCAATCAATCAGAATGTAATATTTTCCATTAAAATTTATTCCTTAAAAGCAATAACAATAGCAATCAATCAGAATGTAATATTTTCCACTAAAATTTATTCCTTAAAAGCAATAACAATAATTAATTTGTGATAATAATAATAATGATAATATTATGATAATGATAATAATAATAATATTAGCAATAATTAATAATAACAATAAATTAATAATGATAATAACTAATGATAGTAATTAACAGTTGATATTAATAAATAATAATAATAATAATAATAAGTAATAATAGCCTGGTATTTATCTGGTTGAAAATATTTGAAAACAGTTCCTTTATAAATTTTAATTGATAACGACAATGTTAATAATAACTGTGTATGTGATTTTTTTGTTTTGTACTTCCTTTTATAAAATAGCATCTCTTATCAAAGTGGATTGATTATATTATGTTTAAGGAATCAATGAGATTGTAATATTTCACATAAAAATTTTTTCCTTAAAATTTGCAGAAGAGTTTTTGCTGTTGAAGAAAATACTTCATTCTGAGCAATTCCAACAGAAACCTTTATTGTGAACGTTACATTTTGCTAATATATTTTTCTTTTTTGTAGGACAATTTACATAAATGGCTTAAGCTTTCTTCCTTTTCCTTCTTTTAGTGACAATTTCTTCACAAAGTCCAATAGTGAAGAGATATGGAAAAGGAAGAAAAATTAGCTTAACAGTATAATTTAAGAAATATTTGGAATGATAGATTTTGATAGTTTGTCCTAAATCTTCTACTCTTCAAATTTTATCGGCCTTTCTGTTTTATGTTACACCTTAATGAATTGATAAACATGGACTATTTAAATCTCCGCCACCTCCAAAAAGTATAATTCTTCTTTTCTCGAAATCAAAAGTTAAAATTCTTTCCCCTTCATTCTTCCAGATAACATTTCTTCTATCATTAAATTCAAATTGTGTCCCATAAGATTAGTGGGTGAATGTTTGAAAAGTTTTGCTGCCTAAAACTACAAGTAACATTATGAAGTGTCACGACGAAATTCTGATTGATGGGTTGGCATATCAAGAAAAAAGAAGTGAAAAAAATTGAAGTTCCTCTTGGGACTTCTTTTCCCTTTTTTCTCCCTCCCTGACTATTACTGTCATTCGGTAAATGTTTTCAAATGCACTGATGACTATCGAGTAAAGCCTAACGATACATCTAACCTTCATTCATCATCATTATACCTCTTTTTATCTACTAAATCAACGACATTTTCAAAACAGGTTTAAGCTTTATTGTGAGGGAACGGCGATAGATATAAAATGAATCTACGACATGACAATTCAAATATGTCTAACTAACTTGAACTGAGCCCCTCATTGTACTATCTATCGTCTACACAAGTATAATCATCCTATCTTATGACAACCATACTTTTTATTGTTCCTTCTTTTTTCATCTCCGACCTTTTCCTTTTTAGGTCTTTTTTCGTAGAATCTCAGAGCACTTTACTTTTGCTTTGCTGCAAAATTTGACCTTTTTATAATTAATTTTCTAGATAATGAAAGTCTTCCAATAAGAAATATCTATACATAAATATTTCTTCTTAACTCTTTTTGTTTATAATTTTTCTCATAATTATTTTATAATTTTTCTTTTTACCCGTCACTCATTATTTGTATATTATCAACCATTATCAATATCCATTATCTTAATTGTGTTTGAGAACAGGGAACTTACTACTTATTGCCATCTATAATCCTCATCCCAATTTTATTCGACAATAGCGAATTTTTATTCATCATTATCAGTACAGAATCTTATCTTTTTATGTTTATGTTCATTTTCTCCTTTTTTAGTTTATTTAATTTCAATATCGAAATTTTTTTATCTCCACGCAGGTATCAATAACGATCCAACGCATCAAGAAATATGTCATTTACTGAATTGTATCTCACACTGCTACTAATTATTACCGCGACGCATTAGCGCAAGTGACCGAACCAAACATCGAAAGGGCAATCAAATAAATAAATGCCCACCACTAACCACTACGACTACCACTACCACTACCATTACCATTACCACTGCTACCACCACTATTATCACTATCACTACCACAACCATTATCACTACCACTACCATCGCACTACTACTACCATCGCACTACCATTACCATCACCACTACCATCACTACTACCATCGCACTACAACCACTACTATCATCGCACTACCACCACCATCATGATCACCATCAGCATCACCATCACACCACAATTACTATTATCACCACTACCATCACCACCACCATCACTACCATCATCACCATAATTACCACTATCACCACTACCTATCACTCATCACCCATTACCCATCATCATCATCATCACCACCACCACCACCACCGCCACCACCATTACCACCACCATCACCAACGTCATCACCACAATCGCCACGACTACTATTACCACCACCACCACACATCATCTTCCTCCTTCCTTTTCATCTTTCCAACCTAAGAGGAATTAACTTTTAACGAAACGAAATAAATTTTTAGCACTAAATTATGCAAACAAACCGTATTACAATATGATTTTCTCTCTCACTTGTTGTTTTAAACAAGTTTTATTTTCATCTGTTATTCTTTTTCTTCCTAAGAATATTCGTTTGGAAAAGTAAAATCGATTATAGAATGATATTCAATTTCCGATTTAATTTATTTATTATGACAAAATTTATCGGAAATTTTCCAAAATTTCATCACTTAAGAAATTGAACTTTAAAATGAGAAATAAGAAACATAAAATGGATTTGTCTTCTTTGAACACGGGAATGATGGCCAAGGTATCGCCGGATAAAATAAATAATTGGAATGTTTTTAGAGCTCAATGGATGGAGCGCAGAAAGGTTGCATTTGGGTTAATAATGGCTGCGGCAAAAAAACGTACCTGTCTAGACAGCAAACACATACACACGCACACACATACATACACGCATTGCACACATACACACACACACACACATACACATACACATATATAATCACATATACATGAGCACGACACGATTATATCAGTTATCCCGTTTGTTCATTTTCGTTTCGAAAAATATTTGAAGTAATTCACTAGGATAGATTACTTGTCTACCTAAGCAGTTTACTGTCGTTCAGAGAAATAACTCATAGGAATAATTCGTTGTGTCAGCATTATTTATGTGTGTTGAAAGGGCGAGCTAGTCGATAGATGATTGGAATAACGAACCCTTATCGGTTTATAGTATCCCTCTGTTGGCTTCTTATAGTTTTGAAATGAAAAAAAATTTATGCCATGCTTTAGCATAATCAAGCCAATCGTTGGCATCTTTTCATTGTAATTAAAACCGTTTTAAGATCGGATTTTACTAAAAAAAATTTCTTTACTCATTTTTATTTATTGTCACTTTATGTTTTGCTAAATTCAGCCATTACCTTTGCAGCATTGAAATTGAATTTAGTAAAATAATGATTTTGCAGTTTTTATGTGATATATTCGTTGGTTTTAAATTTGATACATTGGTGAAGGATTAGTGATTGCATATAGTCACATCATTGTCACGCATCTGCCAACAAACACATCTTCCACTGATTGCAAAACAACACATTTTTCAAAATATGAACATTATTACAACACATTCATTCTGCTATTTTCCCCTAAGTAGTCATATTTTACTTTTTTATCTTACGAAAAGGATAAAATGACAGATCAGTTCAGTGTATACTAAACCAATCACCGCGGCATCTTGATGGCAATGCGGAAACTGTAAGCAGGCTATTATCCTACTCTAGAAGTTTCAAAAACATTTTTTTAATGGTTTCATTTCGCGATTGCTGTGCGATTTTGTCGAGCTGGCACAGTGCACTTCCTTGGGGACCGAGAAAAAGAGATGAGTAGTCGCTTTAAATATTCATCGATCCGTTCTAGGGATGTGATGAGAACGTGTTTGGTTTTTCAAAAATTGAATAATTCACAGGAAATACTATCAGTTTGAGGTATATATCTAAACAGTGATAAGACAACAGTAATAATAAAATTAGTCTTTTCAGTAAACAAGAGTTCATGACGGTTGTTCAAAACTGCTAATATCGGTAACTGCCAAAGTTGTTCAAAACTGCTAATATCGGTAACTTTCTTTGTTTCGGTGTTGTATGTTTCTACTGTTATATAAGGATATGATATTCGCGGGATACAGTTGTCGTTGTGGGTAAATTTGATCGATAAGTACTAATATTCCTTCGGAATTCCAACATCTAAAATATTTTCATAACTTTTAAAAATTTGTCAATACATCTATCTTTCAGTGCGAGTCACTCGATATATTCCGACAATTGATATCGAATGGATGATCATCGTGGCTTGCATAGAGTGCCCTAGAGCTTAATTATATCAGTTACATCGACGATATTGACAGTACTATTAGTAAATCGAAATATTCTATGAATGTCAAAAGCCACTGAGTGATAGCTAGTTCAACATTCTTTTTTCTTATTGAATTTCGTAATAGTTTCGTCCAAAATCCCATCATTTTGGAAGAAATTTTCCAATTTGATTTTCCTTTTTGGAGGAGAAGGATGCGTTCAACTATTAATACTTAAGTTCATTTCATATTAACTTTCTATAATATTTTTTTCCGATACTCAGTATGACAGGTTTGTGTTTCCTATACTGTTAAATTTCCGGAGGTATATTAGAGTTAGGATTACTTTAAGCTTTCACTGAAGTTGCAGTGCGGAAGAGTCTTTCAGATTGATACACTGTTGTAAAAAATTCTCTTGGATATACCATCTGTATATGAGTCAAGGCAGTTCAATAATTTTTTAATAGGACCTCTCAAAAAAATTCTGAGCGAGGTAACAGGCGTAGAAAGGGTATGAAAATGTTTCTTTCTGACTCTAGCACTACATTTTTACTAAAATGGATACGTTTCCGGAATTGAAAGCTTGTGCATCTATGCACAAACAAATATTTCCCCAAGCACTCTCGGTGAATCTTTCCTCTCAATAAGCTCCTTGAGTGCTCAACGGGGGGGAGGGGGGAGGGGGTGGAGGAGTGGGAGAAGGGTGAAGGAGGAGAGGAGTAATCATCTTCTACACAACACTTTCGACAAGTTCACGCCTTCCAACACCGTATCCGGACTCTTAACCGCTCTCTTTCGTCCTTCTTTCTTCCCTTCTCCTCAACCATCATCTTACTTCCATTCTAATCAGAAAATCGTGAGCAACCGTGAAGATGGAAAACATTTTTGTCGCTTTAGAGACTAATTGTAACTGCTAACAACATAGTGATGAAAGAAGTAGCAATTGTATCATTTATTCTGATAATAGAACAAAACAAATAGGACCATTTGGATAACAAGAAAGGATCTAGGCCTGGATAAAGTGTCAGTACGGACGAAATTGAAGATGATAATAGAGATAACGGCTATTGAGAAAAGCTATGAGCAGAAAGTGAAAGAGCAAAAAATTTGCTTGTCTTTTTTGCATCGAAGTTATCAGCTATATATTATCGCTCTAGCTCATCTAAATGGATAAGAGTTATGACGGTTTGACATTTAGAAATACAGAAAAATAAACCGGAAAACTTTCTGTGTAATTTTTTCCGAAAAGTCACAGTTGGTAAGTGAACCAAAATTCACTGATAATGTTATAATCAAGTTATGCATTTTCGGATTTGTAGTTATTAAATGACAGGATAACTAAGTGTTAGAAAGTTCGAATGAATGAATTATATTGTAATTTCTGGAAAGTCAGTTACTGAGAATTCTTTGTTCTCCGAGGGGAGAGAAAGGCTGGGATAAATATTAGAAGAACGGCTGCATACACACATATATACATAAATTCAGGCTTTCAAAAATTTCAGACATTTGCAGATAAGATGACACTTTCTGGATTTTTTGCCAATAAATGAATAAATGAATCAATCAACCTCTGGACAGTTTAATACATTTATGCGTCGTTTCATTTTCACTTATATTCTATTTTCTTCCTATCCTAAAATTTTCATTTTTATTTTGTGAATTTTGGCTTCTTTTGTCGTATCGCGAGGAGCTTGAAGTGAAATATATGCTCCCTGTCCGAATTATCGTGATAGTTCAGATTGAACCATCACATCAGGTAATTGTGGAATGGGTGATCTGATTGAACTAAGAGTTAAAGCATTCCATATAATGATGACTGCTCAAGGACATGAGCTGCTATTATACTCTTTGTCACGTTAGAGGACGAAAATTATAACCCATTGAAATAATAACCTTTGTACGAATCGATCGATATTTTCAAGGAAAAACTGAACTAATTTGGACATATGTCTCGGTTCGTTTGATATAATTTATATTCAATAATCCATTAGCAATTATGTTCCAGCCAAGAAATCATAAAATGGTCACAGTAATGACTGAGGATATAGCAGTTACTAATACTAGTTAGAGATAGCTTAAACTGTAACATTATCGTCTTCTGGATATTTTAAAATAAATCTGAAGATTGAAATTAAGCGCTTGAAACTATTAGCACAGCTTAACGAACAAATAGATTAAATAAAGTTGGAATTATGCGTAATAATCGTCGAATAATATAATATTTGTCGCATTCAATTGTATACAATTCTCATAGTATAAATGAAAACAATACCAGTTTTTTCGTTTTTTCTCAAAGTTCCAATTTTTTGGTGCAAAATTCTCTCGATATTGTCACTTCGATATAAGCTAAAATATAAATTACGTTGAAATGAGGTAAGTGCCACAAATTTCTTTTCCTTTTTTTCACTAAAAAATTTTCTAAGATACATTGATACAGCAACAAAGATACTTTCAGCTTCTTTAATGATCCTCCTGTCATTTCGTATTCGAAAAATAGTTTCATAAGAAAATATACCGTAATTTTTTGCACATTTTGCTCATCTTCTAGTATTATGATTGCATCTTCTTCATACGGGTTAATTGAATCTTCTGTTACATCTATCTGCTTCCATTTTCTTATACCTTTGCATATACAGTTCGATATTTAAATTTGGTTGGATAGGAAAATCGATTGGAATTGGAATAATGTCTGGATAAAGAAGATAAAGCAGAGTGGAATATTAAGAAAGATACTATCATATGATGATGATGATTTACTAGCCAGGATTAGAGATGTGAATCGACAGCAGTTTAACGAGCTGGTGATAGGATTAAATGAAATGGCAGAATGAATGAATAATGATGACCATAATTAAAAAAGTCATCAACCACAATTATGTCCGAGGGATATGTAAAAGGGATGGGTATTAGATGGGATGACCCATTAGGTCGGGGAAATTTTGCTCAATGTGCTAATATAAAAGAAGAAGGAAACAATTCATAATTAGCACAATAAGCCGTTTTCTGCAAAGTTGTTGTTAGCCTAGCTTTAGCATCAACAAAAATGTTTCTTTAATATTTTTGGTGGTAAGAAAGGATAATAAATCATATTGAGA